AAATCCCACTGGAAGATTTGAAATAGGCCTGTGCCGACGTCGCCGGTTGAGATGTCGCTTAGTGGAAGGAATACGTTTGTCAGGGTTAGGAATTTGTTTTGGGAGGTGAAGATTGTGTAGAGGGTGTAGAAGTGGGATGCTGAGGCGACGAGGATGGCGGTGGAGTAGAGGCGGCGGAGGACGAGGGTTGTTTGCTTGCGGGTGGCCGTCTTCGTCTTCTTAGTTTCAGGAGTTTGTTTGGGTCTGTAAACAGTGCTTGCCAGGAGCCAAATCCCGGCGTTGACGAGGACGGGCACGACCTGCCAGAAGGCGATGAGGTTCTGCGCTAGGCGGGGGGAGGACCAGGGGTAGTACATTGCCGCGGTCGGGAGGGCGAAGATGAGGAGGGAGGCCGGGAGGAGGGCATTTGCGAGGGGGAGGGGCACGTCGCCGCCCGAGACGAGGTAGGTTTTCCGCGTGGTGAGGAGGGTGTAGGCGAGATGGTAGAGGGGAATTATGACGCCGCCGCCTACTGTTTGATAGAGCGCTGCCCAGGCGGCGTGACTGCGTTATCGTGTTAGTTTTGCTTGTTTGTGCTTCTGAGCTTTGGTGGGTGGGTTGAGAAAGTCGTGATGGAGGGAAGGGAAGGGGGGCTTACAAGCTGAGGAAACTCCAACGGTTCCTGGAGCGATAGGCCTCGACGTTGAAGACCACCACGGCCGGGAAGAAGTTGAGCAGGAAGTGGATCTGCTGGATCCTTGCCGGCTCGTTGAGGCTCAGAGGTCCCTGAGCGAAGGAGGCGACGAGGTAGGTGAGGCCGAGGTCGAGCGGTTTGAGGCCGGTGTAGGTCGTGTAGAGACGGGAGCCATCTTGGAGTTTCTCCGTCTCGACGAGGTCGGTGAGGTTTCGGGTAAAGGAGGTGTGGCCTGGTTGGATGCGGATGAAGTAGACGCCCGCGACTGCGAGGAGGGCGAAGATTGTTGTGAAGAGGGTTGTTAGGAGGGGGTGTCGTGAGGACCGGGGCGGTGAGGATGTTGGGTTGGCCATTGTTGGGAGAGGTTCTTGTGGCGTTCGATGGAGAAGTCCTTGAGAATGCTAGACTTTGGCGATAGACGGGTGAAGTCTCATGATGGAAATGAAGCTCGAGATTCAGTTCAAATAAACCATACATGTAAGACGGACAGATCCTTTGAGAAGTCGAATGACCCCACACCGTCAGCAGTAACTGGAGTCTGCGGCGTGAGTGGTTGACGGACTCGGCTGACGGTGCGCCTATGCGGCGTGGGTTTCCGTGTCCGTCACTGTCGGCCGACATCTGACATATCATCCATCCTACTCCCTTGCTGATTGATCCAGTTTTTTGTGGTTTGCGAATGTCCCCTGTAACGGTCCTGCATCGCAGTTATCCTCAAGCCTGGGCAGAGGCTGTTGTTAGCTTATGAGGAAAATAAAGATGCTGGGTGCCACAAGTTGGGTCTCATTTCCACGGAAGTAATTCCCTAGTTACTGAGTGCCTCCATTCGTCTATCTATCCTTAGAATCCGAGGTGAGGTTCCGTTGTAGTACTCAATTAGTCAACCATGAAAAGAAGAGGTATAACATCACGGCGCGATGATGGTCGAGGACATTAGTTTGATGTTAAAAACATGTAAGAAATCAAGTCCCGGTAATGTCAGAAAGCAAAAGCCAGATTGAAGCTCTTTCTCTTCTCTGTCAGCAAAGTTGAGCCTGATCGTGAATGAGATATTATTAGCTAATCGATCATCTCAACTGTTTCCCCTTCAATCGACAATCATTCTGCCAGATTTGCGAGTTAGATTACCCGGTGTTGATGCTCTCACCAAATCCAGATTTATACTAAGCCTGAATTCTAGAGCTATTCCTCAATGGACTTCCTCAGATTCGCTGCCTTTTCAGGATAGACTATGCTACTCCACAACTCGACCGCGCTACTTCCCCCATCAACGAGGATGTCAACTCCATTGACGTAGCCGCATTTCACAACGAACTCAATCGCCTGAGCAATCTCATCCGCCGTGGACGCCCTTTTCAAAGGATGAACCTTTAGCGCAGCAGTAATCATATCACCCACCATATCCACCGACTTTTCTGCCGTAAGCATGTTCGTCTCCGTCATCCCGGGACTAACACAATTAACCCTTACACCTCTGCCGGCATACTCCCTCGACGCCGCCGCTGCCTGAACCCGCAGGAAGTTGGCCTTCTTCGCAACATAATATGCAACTCTGCTCTTTCCACTAATCATATGATCAAGCTCCTGATTCGGAGACAAAAGGGATGAGAGCGGTGCCGTAGCGAGGTGCGTCTCCAGCTCTGGGGACATGGGTGGGCATAAGCCTTGCGCTATACTACCGGTACAAACAAGCGAAGAACCCGCAGGCATGACAACTTCTTTGCCAAACGCATCAATGACATTCGCGGTGCCCCGGATGTCCACTGTCAGAATCATCTCGACTGACCCGACTACCGCACTGACGCCGGATGTCAGTACGACGGCCTCGATGGCGCCCAGGGCTGCGGCCGCCTTTGCGACGGCCGCCACGGAGTCATAGGAAGACACGTCGACCTGTCTCGTGGTAACCTCAATGCTCTTCTTTTTGAGGGATTCGGCCCCTGCGTCGAGGGTGGAGGGGGAGCGGCTTGCAAACAAAACTCGTCGGCCGGGGCCAAGGCGGTGGGCTGTGGCAAGACCGATGCCGCCGCCGCCAATGATGACAAGAACTGGGAGTGATTGAGATGCCATAGTCACAAGGTGGGCTGTTATTGACGGAGTATCTGAGTGAGGATGCGAGAAGTCACTTATTGGTATTGGTGCCAAGGAAGGAATTCCGCGATTATTTATATGCACACCTAGCACTTCATGCGCATCTACGTCTAGATCAACAGAATTCAGATTTTATCTGATACGAAACATGAGGAGCTATCGATGAATTGCCGTCGTCAATGAGAAATGCTTCTAAACTTGAAAATCCAAGGATGTAATCGCCGCCTCCGTCGGACATTTAGATCCTACCCCGGAGGCTTGCAGTGTCATCAAGGCTGACTGACAGCTCTACAATGTGCAATTCCCCAAAGCTTAAAAAGCTAGGTGTCTTGCCAAGCTCTCATCATGAAATAGTACTTCAACAAATCAGTTTCGGGCTCATACGCATTACATCATGAGCAGTGTTATTGTACCCGCAGCCAGTCCTCGCCTGAGGCTAGGATGGATAGGTAAGTTGGATCTTCCCGTTAGAAATCCCATTGCTTTTCACCTCACTAACACGCGCAAATAACCAGGTTTGGGCTCCATGGGGCTGGGCATGGCGGCCAACCTACAAAAGCACCTTTCGCAGTCGGGCGCGCCGAATCTCAGTTTCTACAATCGCACCAAGTCCAGGGGTGCAGCCCTGGAAGCCTTGGGTGGTGTTTCTCGCAGCCTTGATGAGCTTACCGCGAAATCTGACATCATCTTCTTGTCTCTAAGCGATGGAAATGCGGTTGAAACAGTGCTAAACACGATACTAGAGTCAAATGGTGCGACTATCCCTTTTGACAAGAAAGTCGTTGTCGATACCTCGAGCATTCATCCCAAAATTCCAGCTCAAGTGAGGTCGAGGTTGAGAGAAAAGGGTGCCGAGTACGTCGCGGCTCCTGTCCTTGGTGCCAGCCCCGTAGCTGCAAAGGGACAACTTCTTTGGATATTGGCAGGGGCGGAGGCTGCCATCGACGTCGTCAACCCGTACATTGTCGGGGTGATGGGTAGAGGGATCTTGAGACTCGGAGATGATGTGCGGCTTGCAAGCAGTCTGAAAGCTGTTGCGTGAGTAACTGAACCTCCAGACATTTCTTTTTCTTTTTCTTTATGAGAGAAAAGGTACTAAGGCATATCAAACAGAAACTCACTCGGAATCGGTATGATAGAGGTCATTGCTGAGGCTCACGTCCTTGCGGAGAAGGCTGGATTAGGGGTTGCCGACGTCGAGAACTTGATCCAGCAGCAGCACGGCTTGCCAGGGCTCATGATCTCGCAGCGTCTGACCACCGGGGCGTACATGCCACCACGAGGCGAAAGACCGTGGGCAGATGTTGGTCTTGCGGTTCTAGGCGGGCAAGAGATTCAGACTGCTGCGACGGATTTGGGAGTGCAACTCGGTGTGTCTTCGCTTGTTATGAAGAACCTGGAGGTGGCGAAAGCGTACGGCGAGTCGGTTGGCCGGCAGCTGGACGTCTCTGCGCTTTATGGTGCGGTGAGGATATCGAATGGGCTTCCTTTTGAGACAGAGTTTGTGAAGAAGAGAGACGGTTCTTCTTGAAGGATATGATGGGAGGGTATGCAACTTCGCAGTCAGATATCATTATTATTCACGGGAACAGCTACAAACCCCAACGACACATCATCCTAGATAGTCTGGTGTTCCATATCCATTGAAATTTTGGACTAGTCGTACACACAGTACGGAGGCACGTGAGAGTACTATAAGGACATAACACAACCTAATATAATGTTAGTTTTGAGGACTTGAGGTTTACTTGTCGTTGGACGTCAGCCGCTTGGAAACGTTATGGCACTCACATTACCTGCGGTTGCTGCTAGCCTCAGACTACCATCTACAAACGGGTCCTATGAATAACGCTTATATACTGGCAGCGGTGAGTGATGGTATCATTCTATCAAACCCACCTTAGACAGGAAGACAGGGGGTGCAGTGACTGCCATAGGCCTAGGCACGGGACTGAACACGGGTCCAATGCCTGGTAGTCATCATTACTATGGGAATTGACACCTGGGCCTACTTGGTTTCATCTGAAGGGAAAGTCAAACGGAACGACAACGCTTGGAGCAGGGGAGTTTGGTCAGCTTGCTGATAGGGTTACTCTTGGGAGATAATCGCTATGAATGGGATTCTAATCGATCAAAAGTCGGGCTGTTCTAGTTGTATGATCTATGTTCGTGGCTGAGAGCCAACAGACTTATTTCGTGGGCATCTTCTAACTTAATACACGGTGCCTCAGTAGGGTCAGATAGCTGACACACTTGTTCCTGTGAGACGAGATTGCCTTGCCGCCTTCAACTTCAAAGGTCTGGGTTTCGCCCCAGCACCCCCGACGAACGGGTTTTTTTTCACTTCTTTTTTACAACACTCGCACTGGAAATTTCGATCAGCCACAATGCTCTATCTGTTGGAAGAGAGATGGCTTACCGTGACGTGACTGTTGGTAGCAGATGTTACAGACTGGCAACTTCCTTCGCGACTCACGTACTCGTCAGAAGCACAGGTCGATGCCATTTCCAACCCATAGCAAGTTTGAAAATTAGTCTGGGAAATATCGTCAATTAAAGTCAAGTTCCTCAACTGCCATTGGCCTCTCCAGAAGAACTTACGCATGGCTGCGTGACGGACCTGCAAGTGGCGAAGATTGCCGGAACGTTGCAAATGACGAGGAGCAATGTGGCGGAACGCATTTTTGATGAGCAGATTGTAATTGTAAGAATAACGCGAGCTCAAAGAGTGTGAGGGGATCTGGTTAATGTCGAAGTCTGATAATGATGTCAAAGAAGTGTGTAAGTTGACGTCGTCTATCAGACTATTTATCCTTCCGGTTGTCAAATCAAGTCTTTGGCTCTCCCCCAACGTTGGATAGATATCGACACAAGAAGAATTGCGACTCGTCTTCGGAGAGTATCATCATCACCGACGGCGTTTGACCATCCGCCGGCAATCGAATTAGGGTCTCAACTCCTGGCAAATTGATACGATCGACTATAACGACTGGTGGAGACTGTTGGTATAATCTGTGAGCCCACCGCTGTAAAATGGCTTTCCGAATCTGCCGGGTTGGTGTCGCCGAGTCATGAAGCAACCCTTAGTAGTAATACATTCCTCAAATTCAGGCTTGACTATATGTGTATCTCACCGCAAAGTTGGTCGCTGACTGACATGTCCGTCGGCTCAGTATCACTCATATAAAGACCATATCCGTCATTCGCATATCAACATCGGCCGTCTGCGTCTACCGGTGCTTGCGTGATTAACAAATGGCGGCGCACAAATTGGACACTACCTGCCAAGATAAGAACAGTCATATGGAAGAGCGACGAGTGGAAAAGGAAATAAATCTCAGGATACATAACATGATAATGAATACGGTAGCTTAGCTAGCTCACATACAAAGTCGTCTGATCTGGCTGGAGAGCTCCAGGGTGTTGCAGTAGCTCAGCTTACTTCAATCCAATGCTTTCTTCATACGATGAGAGGTCCAAACACGAGCAGAGCCACTGCAGCTCGTCACAGTAATGGCCTGCTATCATAATTGTATTCCAGCTCATGTGGAAACGGACTCCGAGTGTCTTCATCCGGGTCGGAGGAGACGGCGCACGTAATTGGGGCCGTAAGTGCTGAAGGATGGCGGGCAACTCTTTCCCCGTGCGGAGAATATATGCAGGCCGTTGCCTGGTCGCTCCCCACCAATCAGTGGAGCTCTGGCTGAGAGCTCTCCCAAACCTCAAAATTTCATCCTCCAAACGCGCCTGGCCAGCTGTCTCAAGCGCGTTCATCCATTGACAACACCTTCGAAATCCCCTTCACCGTTGCGCCCAACCCAGCCTACGACTGGACGCGACCACGAAAATTTTACGATATGTCGCTCTTCGGCAACAACCCTCTGGGTGGTCTGGGAACCTCGACTAGCGGAACCCAGCAACAGAGCAGCACAGGAGGAGGTTTGTTTGGACAGCAGAACACGACCAGCACCCAACAGACTAGCTCTACGCCTGCTTCAGGCGGTCTATTCGGAAACCTCAATCAGGCCAAACCTGCGACCACCGGCGGTCTCTTCGGCACATCGACGACGGCACAACCGGCGACAGGATCCTCGCTGTTTGGTGCGCCTCAGCAACAACAGCAGCAACAAGGCCAGCAGCAACAATCAGGCGGACTCAGCTTGGGAGGCTTGGGTGGGCTGGGAGCATCGACGGCACAGAAGCCATCTCTCTTCGGCGCCATTGGAGGTGGTCAACAAAACCAACCCCAGGCGCAAACGACGGGCTCGACCTTCGGCCAGACTACTGCAAACAACACTCTCGGCGGCTCACTCTTCCCCTCATCGCAGCAACCGCAGCAGAATACAAACAACCAGTCCCAAATCCAGCAGGGTCAACCGTCAGGCGCATACTTTGACAGCCTGTTCGCCAAGAGCAAGAAGCAAGGAGATGGCGAAAATGGCATGGAGGACCTCCCCAGTCTGCAATTGGGCCTGGGCGACCTTCGCCAGCGCTTGAAGAAGCTGGGAACAAAGGCTCAGGAGCGTCCTTCCGATGGTAGAGCGCACTACCTCCTCGCTGCATCTGGCGTGGATCCTTCTACCGCCGCGAAAGACCTCGGATCCCTCGATCTGCAGACTGGCCGTGTCGAGAGACCCTCTGGCTACTCACCCGCCGAAATCGACGTCGAGACGTACCTCGCGAACCTCCAGACGAAGACGACGATGAGCATGATTGCGGACGGCTTAGAGAGATCGGTCCGCGACTTTGATAACTTCTTGGAGGACAACGTGACGATGGAATGGGACGCCCAGCGCAAGCGCATCTACGAGCACTTTGGCATCAAGGCTCGTGAAGAGTCTTCTTTCGGACCCGCTGCGTCGACAAGAGAGGCCTCTGGTGGCTTTGGTCGTTCGCGCCGAAGCAAGAGCCAGGCGACTGGAGCTCGTTCTGGCAGAGCAAGCGTCCTGGGCAAGTCGAGCATGCATCGCTCGGTCATCGGCAACGCAAGCAAGATCGGCTCTCACCAGCCAGAGTTCTCAGATGTTGATCGGTCCACGGACAATGGCGGTTCGTTGACCGGCCACATCAATTCTGACGACAGATCTCTACGGGAGAAGCAGAACAAGCTTTCCGAAAAGGTCCGCAACCTCAATCAGGCGCGGCTCATTGCCCATCCCTATCCCATCCTTTCAGAGCTCGCGGATGTCGAGCACCGGTCTCTGGACCCATATGCGCCACACATCGTTGAGGCGTACCATGCTGTTCGCGAGATCGTCGGAGAAGATCCTGAAGCAGAGACTACCATCAATGGTGCCACGGCGAAGGAGCGGCAATTTGCCAAGATGTACTTGGATGAAGCGCCGAACTCTGCCAGCTCGATATCTATGCGAAAGAGGCTGTTGGATGGTGCCAACAGATACCTTGAGAAGCAATTCCTTCAAGAAGTCGAGGCCCTCATCGCAAAACACCCCCACGAAGCCAACCTCGGTGGCCGCCCCGATATTGTCAGCAAGATCAGAGCCTACATCCGGTTACGTTCTGCACGAAAGGATTTGGTGCCTGATAACACAGACCTTCAGCAAACTGGTGGTGAATATGTGTGGGCCATCGTCTTCTACTTGCTACGCTCTGGTCACGTCAGCGAAGCTGCGACGTATGTGAATGATAACGGCAATCAGTTCCGCAGCATCGACCGCACATTCCAGAGCTATCTCAACGGCTATGCTTCTAACGAAGACCGCCGCTTGAAGCGCACATTGCAGGATAGATGCAATGCCGAGTACACTCAGCGTGTGCGCAACGCTCCCGACAACTCCATCGATCCCTTCCGGATGGCCTGTTACAAGATTATTGGTCGCTGTGACCTGAACAATCGGAGTCTGGATGGCCTCAACACCGATATCAACGACTGGATTTGGCTTCAATTCAACCTTGCTAGAGAGGGCGACCGTTCGGTTGAGGTGGCTAGCGAGGCTTACGGCCTTTCCGAACTGCAGTCCAGTATCAAGGAAATCGGAGCCAAGCACTTCCCCAAGACCTCTGCTGAAGACAACAGTGGCAGCTTTGGCATGTTCTTCTACCTCCAGGTACTGTCAGGCATGTTCGAGGAGGCCATTGCGTACCTTTACCCCTTTTCCTACGTCGACGCAGTCCACTTCGCCATTGCTCTCGAGTACTACGGCCTCCTCCGACCTTCCGATCCTTTCAGCGCCTCCAATGATCTGCGCAGCTTGAACGTCAAGGATTCTGTTCAGATCAACTTTGGCAGGATGATTGGCTACTACACAAGGGACTTCAGAGCAGCCGACGTTGTGTCCGCTGTTGACTATCTGACTCTCATTTGCCTCAACATGGACTTGTCTGGCGAGGCTGGCCGTCGTCATGCTAACCTCTGCTGGGAAGCCCTGCGCGAGCTCGTGCTCGAAACGCGTGAATTTAGCAAGCTCATCGGCGACATCCGCCCTGATGGCCAGCGGATACGCGGTATCATCGAGGAGCGCGGTTCTTTGATCGGTCTGACGGAAGAGAACGACTTTATCAACACCGTCACCGTCCAAGCTGCCAGCTTCGCCGACGAGAACGGCCGCACCACTGACTCAGTCCTTCTGTACCACCTGGCTGGCGAGTACGATACCGTCGTCTCGATTGTCAGCCGTGCACTCAGTGAGGCCATCTCCCTCGAGATTGGCGAGGATCCCATGCGCCTCATGCCCGTTAAGCCTCGCGCCGCTGGCCAGGAGGCCGAGACCGGCAGCAGCCTTAGCCTGGCTTCCATCGACGACCCCGTGGAGCTTGCCCGTACGATGATGTCCATGTACGAGCGCGATGCCATGTTCCACCGCAAGATCCAGGAGCAGAACAGAGTCGCCTGCCGCGTCCTGCTCGAGATGAGCACCATCAAGTCCCTCGTCGAGGCCGGTCAATGGGCTCAATGTCTGGACGTAAGTGACACCTCGCACCCACTCACTGTTTTCCCCATATCCGTCGCACATAGATGACTAACTTTGGCATTCTAGAAAATCCGCGGCCTCGAGATTCTCCCGCTCGACGCCAGCGGCGACCCGAGCATTATCCGCGCCTACGCCGCAAAGTTCTCCGGCCTCTCCCAGCCCGTCTCTATCAACGTGCCGAATCTGCTCATGTGGACCATCATCTGCTGCACGCGCCAGCGCGACCAGCTCACCGGCGGCCAGTTCAGTGGCAACGAGGGCACTCGTCGCATGATGGTCGAGCAGATGAAGCAGATGACGCTCGACCTCACCACGTACACTTCGCAGCTGCGTTACCGCTTCCCGCCGCACTTGCACGAGGCACTTGCCAGAGCGTCTGCCGAGTAAGAAGAGGACTCGGATCGATTCGTAGCGTTGACACTTCATGCGTGGTCTGGGAAGGAGATTAGGGCTGAAGTGGTGGTGTTGGTAATTTAACAATTGAGCAGAGTCAAGAAATGACGGAACGAGTGAGGCTCGCATGACTCCAGGATGGGGCGCAAAAAATGTCTTGTTGTTTGAGTAATACGGCAGAAGAGAGAATACTATGAATAGATACCTTCGTGACTAACCTTTTCCTACTTTTTGTTTATTCCATCCATGGGCTCTGTAAACAAGTTCACCTCTGACTATTCTCAGCAGCAGTAAAAGGGACTCTTGCCCAGAAGCTTAAGATGGTTATACCCCCAATCCTGAAGTGTAAAGCTACCGAGCTGTAGCTTGTGAGTTCGTATACCACAAGCGACCGATGCTTTGTTTTGTCTTTTTCCTTCCCATGTCACTATTTGGCGGCGAGTAACACATACACACAGTAAAAAGCCATCATGAGATTTCATCTCCAGCCAGGATGCGCAAACTGTCCTTGGTATTTGGTCCTAACTAGAAAGTTGCGAAAAAAAATGCTCAACGAGAGAAGCATACGTTCTAGGGTATAGTGTGATGCTACAATAAACAGGTCCTTGGAACAGCCCACTTTACCCTCCCTCCAAAAACGCCTAACGTGATGTGACCCCTATTTTCCGCATTCAGATTTACCAGTCTTTAATGACCACGACCCCTTCCACGTCCACGTCCTCTCCCTCTACCACGAGTAGCGCCGCCCCGAATAGACCCGCCTCGCATCCTGCTAGGCTCTGGACCACCGATACCGCTATCCGATTCAGAAGACGACGAGATCTCGCTCTCCGATTCCGACTCGGAGCCGATTCTCACGACAGTCAGACCCCCCGAAGGCCTACCTCGGCGCGCGGACGGCGGCGGAGGAGGAGAACGATCTCCGGGAATGCCGGAATCAGAGGAAGATGCAGAGGACGGCGACGCGACGGGAGCGTCAAAGTCCGACTCGTCTTCATCCGACTTGCGCCAGCGTCGACCGACGGCACCTGGAGGCGGAGGCGTGTGGTCGGAGCTCGACTGTCTGTCCCTGGAAGCACCGGGAGGCGGAGGCGTGTGATCAGAGCTGGATTGTCTGTCCCCAGAGGCGCCCGGGGGTGGAGGCGTATGATCCGAGCTTGGCTCTCTCACTCTGGCAGGCGTACCAGGAGGTGGAGGAGTGAGATCTACGCTTGGTTCTCTCGAAGGCTCTCTGTTGGTCTCCTTTGCTGGCTCCGTCGCCTCTTCAGTAGAAGGCACAATCTTGGCTGGCTGCTCGCTGCGACTGACTGAAGGTCTCGCGGATGACGCTTGGGTTGGAGTCGGGGTCTGTTTCGCGCTCGCATCTCGCGACTTGCGCGACGTAATCTTGAACTTTCCTCCGCGAGCTGCAACACGGGCCGCCATTGACATCATCTTTGTGGCACCCGGAGGAGGCGGGGGCGGTGATCGATCGACAGGTGCCTTCTCTACCGCGGCGGTCTTGTTCTTGGGCGGTCGACCACGGCGCTTCTTAGGCGGTGCCGCGGTTGCCTCCGCCGTCTCGGTCTCGATGGAGGTGACGGGTGCACTCTGGGATGGTCCTTCTCCAGCCAACTCTCGCTCAAGTTGAGCCTCGAGTTCAGCTTCAGTTACATCGTGAGCCGCGTCTTCATCATCTGCATCGTCGTCGTCATCGTCGTCGTCGTCGCTAGCTGTGTTGCCCCTAGCTCTCGGGTTGAACGAGCTGGCTCCATCTATAGTCACAACGCGGCTAAGGCCCGAACGTCGCGATGCTCGCTCTTCACGTTTCTTCGCTGCATTTCTTGCTGCAATTTCAGATGGCTTTGGAACAGCATCGGCTAGAGGGGCCCTCGGCACCGAACCCGGCGTCGAGTTCGCGTTCCGCGGCGGCCTGCCTCGCCTCCTTGGTGCTGTGGGCGTTTCGGCTCCACCAGCGGCGGCGGTGGCGGCTGCAGCATCAGTTCCCTTCTGGATGAGAGCACGCACAGCGTCAGAGGCCAAGTCTCTAGGGTCATTACTGGCATCGCCCGCCTCCGGCTCATCGTTTTGGACCGGTGGCCTTTGCTTGAAAGCCGGCACCATGTCATCAGGGTCGTCGATCATTGGTTCTTCTGGCTCAGCATAAGACGCTCTAGGCCTTGCATGTCGCAATGAAGGAACGTTTGCCGGGAATTGAGGAGCTGGCATCCCGCGTCGTGCAAGACCGCCTGCCGGGACTGCCTCTCTTTCTAGCTGGGCCGAGGCTTCATCCTCAGGATCACCGCTCACCCCAGCTGGCTCGGCAGTATCACCCTCAGCAGCTTCGGGTGCGGCGCCCGCGGAAGCAGGCTGTGCCGAACCGAACAACGCCGGATCCATGGCAGATTCGTCAGCACCGTCTTCTTTCTTTGCCTTCTTCCTGTTTTGGGGCCTTGGGCCATGGAAGTCTGGATCCAAATCATTCTCCTGTTTTGCCTTCCGCTTCTGTGTCCGCAACATATTCTTGACGTATTCAGCCTCATCGTCAAACACCATGGCGTCAGTTGAAGGCATTTGGAACGGGTCGAATAGAATCTGATCTGGACCACTTTGTTGGTAGTAACCCATGCCGAACATGGGTTGGCCATCCATGCCCAAGGGATCCGGGTATGCTGACTGGTCCCATTCGGGGTCCCCATTCATGTTCGCCACTGGAGCAGACGGTTCAATGTCCATCTGCGACATGTCTTGAGTTGCGTCGGGATCGCGATCATCAGCATGACGTCCGTCCTGCTCACCGAGGACATGGCTCTGATCTCCGTATCCGTACAGCCCACCCTCTGCGGACGCGGTAGCACCGTTAGCACCATTAGCGATGTCTTCGGCAGTCAGAGAAGCACTCTCCTGAGCCTTTGCGGTGTCGGCCTTCTCCCGTAGCTCCTTCATACGTTTGCTGTTCGCGCTGCGGCCCTCTTCACCAGCTGTCTTGAGCCAGTTGAGATTGTGCACGCGGAAGTCGACGAGGGCCTCAACACTTCTATCATCCGCAATAGCCCGGGTATCATGACCGAGAAGGGTGTTCTTTGGCGTATAGGGGTTGCCGCTTTCGGCACGGCGGCATGCACCGCAATTACAGATGCCCAGGCACTTTGGGCAAAGCCAATTCTCGTTCTCCTGTACCGTCTGTGGCATCTGATCAAACGCGCGGTAAAGCACGCCGTAGCAGTAACTTTCTTTACACTCTGGATTTGAGCATTCTTGCACCTTGTAGGCGTAGTCCTTGTGACAGCAAACGTGGCAGCGACGAAGTTCTCCCTTCTTCTTCTTCCGTTTGTATTTTTTCTTCTTGGGCTTGCCGTTGTCGTCCAATTCTGGCTCAGGTTCGGACTCGGTGAGTGGCTTGTCCTCGTCAAGCCTCGAAATATCTTTGAAAGGTCGCCTGTGCAAACCCTCCTGGCAAATTTCGGCCAGTGCCTTCTTACCTCGCCGGGTGCGAGCGATTTCAAGAGGCTGAGGTGATAGCTCTATATCAACGAAGCCGTCGTTCTTGATGATCATCGCCCGCCAGAGTTCGTAATCCTCCGTCAGTTGTTCCCACGACCATTGCTCGCACCATTGAAGTTTGGATATGCAGACACAGGATCGTCCCATGGCGTAGCATTCCATACAGACGTCGTATGCATCCTCATCTCCGTTGACCAGAGTCCGCACACAGTGCTTGCAGGTCAAGAATCGGTTGAAAATGTTTGATCTGCAGTATGAGCAGGTCACGCAAGAATCGTACTCGACATATTCGACGTTCTTCTCTTTGGTCGCAAACATTTCGTCAACAAGAATCTCGGTGTAGAGTGAGAAAAGATGGCGGAAATCCTTGGCAAGCTGCTTATACCGTGAGGATGACCGGAAAAGCTCCGAGCTTAGACCGGCAATGCCCATCTCGCTGTCCTGCTCGGCCTTTACCATCTGCGCGAAGTATTTCTTAAGCGTATAGTAGATGATAGCCTTATTTTTGTACTGCTCATCACGGCAGACAAGACGAGCTTTGGGAAGGGCTTCGTGGAGTGCCATGTCCAGGGTCTCGACAGTCGTGCGGTTCCACGCGACCTTCATGGTGCGCGTGCCCCTATTCCAGACCTGGTGAGGGGCTAGAGGGGGGATGAGGATGAAATCGCCGGGTTTCTGCTCGACAATGTAGACCGGAAAGGTTGCCTTTTTCCAGGCGTTGATCTGAGCAAAATGCTTCTCAATTTCGATGTCGTGGCCGAGCATAGACAGGAAGTACTCGCGGACGACTTCTCGATCCTTGGTCTCCGTCATGAACCAGATGGAGCTTCCAGGTTTCTCTCCGTTCTTACTCCCCGAAGCCTCAACCATGATGTTTTGTCCGAGACTGGCGCACATTTCACGATGCGCCGGGGTGAATGTTCCTTCGTGTCCGATATAGCACATGAGATTCTGTGCTCGCATCTCCTCGGGCAGGCTTGACATGAGATCTCCCGCAGGTGCCACCTTTGACCTATCGCCAAAGCCACGAAAAGGATCACTTTCCCGACTGTCTGCAGCTCCCTTTTGCGTGACATTTTCGTTCATGTAAAATAGGTTGGGAGGAATGACTTTCTGCAGGTGTTCTTGCCATTCGGGAGGACAGTCGATGTCTTTTAGGTAAAGGCGTTGCCGTCTCTCGTCTCGATAATTGGTCGGTGTCCATTGGTTGGTGAGTTGTTTCATGGCTCTCATATAGTGGCCTGTGGTCATCGGAATCTCGGTCTGGCCGGTAATGTCACGGACATTTTCCTCTGTCTTGATGTCAGCTGCTGCCGCGATTAGGCAAAAGGTGACTACACTCACGCTTCTTGTCGTATGTCTTCTCCATCCACTCTCCACTGAAGAGCCACTCGGGAAGAACCTCGTTCCATTTCTCAATCACCAAGGGCTTCCCGCCCTGAATGACTTGTAGTTGGACCAACTTCTCAAACTCCTGGGGGCCCAATCCTTGAATCTGAGCAGTCGAAATTCGGAGGACCCATTCGAAATTCGGGGTATGATCGACAAGCGTGAAAAGGTCTAAGTCCGGGGGAATCGGATCGAACTTGGCCTGGGGATGCGATGGTGGCGGCATCTTGAAGGCTGGCTATGGCTACTTTCGGGCGGGGAATCGCATGAGAATGCTATCTTTGACGCGTCGGTCAGGACATGCGAGACGCATGTATCCACAGGCGTAATCGAGACGACCTGCGGCGCGTCGAGCCGGCGGAATTGGTAGGATGACCGGCGAAGACGCCGACTGGTGATGTTCGCGACAAACGGCGGTGCGATCCAGAGGCTGGAAAGCGTGTCGCGTAAACGGAAAGTTGCGTCGGGCGAGGCTGAACAATTCGAGATTCAAAGGCGATGGGGAGGAACGAAAGTCAAATGCGCAGCCAATCAAGGTCTGCGAATCTACTGGTACCTTGGCCCCCAAGGATCAAACAGCACGGACCACACTTAAGCTCTGGACCCTTTGGCGACGGCTCTCAAATTTCGGTTCTCTAGGTGACGGGTGCAAAAAGTTGACGGGGCATATCTGGTTTTTGTTAGAGCTCCGTATCGATTGTCGGTAAGTCTTAAGGTTTCTTTTCGTTCTTCTCCAGTGGAAATACTGGCTAGAAGATTTCCACTGGCTCTTGCCTCCGAAGCTAAGGCCTTTCGATGCAATGTCTGTATCGCGCTATGGTGAACATAGTTGAGGGAGCTGGCACCCTTGCACGTCACAGCTGAAGAGCATCACAGCTGAAGAGCTTCACAGTTTAGATGGATTCAAGGCTCAACGCTTCAATGTTTTCCATATTGCAAATATCACTCCTTTAAGATCTTAAAAACTTTTGTACCTTATCTCTGGTATTATTGCGAACAGCTTGTTAACTCTTCTACGTGTTCTTTAATCATCAATATGTCACTTATACTAATATCGTGACAGTGACTCGAAATGAGGCAAGTCAACTTGCTAAGAGGGCCCCTAAGGGCGGCATGCAACCATCCATCTGGCACAACGAGATTTCTCTCAGCGGCGTCACCATCTCGATTGGGCTTGCAGGCACACCGCAAGCCTAGCACACATCTCACTCTTCGGAGCTCAGCTCATCAGCAGCACACAGCTCTCCACACCACCACGAAACGCCTCACAACAGCCATTGCTCCAGACACTCCCGAACCAGCATCACCTGAAGCTGTGTACTCGCCGCCGACGACCGGTATCATCTCTTACCTGCCCGCATCATGGGTCCCCTACGCAGAACTTACCCGTATCGATAAGCCGGCAGGCACTTACTACCTTTTCTTCCCCTGTCTATTCTCAACACTGATGGCCGCACCGATGGCCATGCCCATGGCGTCTCCGGCCTCTGTCATTGGAACTTCGCTCCTGTTCTTCTCGGGAGCCCTCATCATGCGAGGCGCGGGCTGCAGCATCAACGACCTGTGGGACCGTAACCTCGATCCGCACGTCACGAGAACGAAATTCCGGCCCATCGCGCGAGGCGCCATCACTCCTTTCCAGGGTCTCGCGTTCACCGGCGCCCAGCTCCTGGCCGGACTGGGCATCTTGGTTCAGTTCCCCACGTCCTGCCTCTGGTACGGCATTCCGAGTCTGCTCTTCGTGGCCTCCTATCCCCTGGCGAAACGGGTCACCTACTATCCCCAGGCCGTACTGGGCCTCACCTTCTCCTGGGGTGCGATGATGGGCTTTCCAGCTCTCGGAATCGACTTGTTGTCCAATAGCGCGGCCTTGACGGCTGCTGGGCTTCTGTACACATCGAACGTCGCCTGGACGATTCTGTACGATATGATCTACGCCCACATGGACATCAAGGATGACGTCAAGGCGGGCATCAAGAGTATCGCCCTCAAGCACGATGCCGAGACCAAGCAGGTCCTGACGGGTCTGGCTGCGGTCCAGCTGAGTCTTTTGGGTGCTGCTGGGTTCGCAGCTGGTGCGGGTCCAGCCTTCTTTATTGGCAGCGTCGGTGGAGCGGCGGTGACACTCGGTGTCATGATCAAGCGGGTCAACCTGAAGAGCGTCAAGGACTGCTGGTGGTGGTTCATTAACGGTTGTTGGATCACTGGTGGCGTCATCAGCTTGGGTCTCGCGGCCGATTACACTGTAAGATACGTTCAAGGCGGAAACGAGGATGCTGTCGGTCAGAAGCAGCTGGAGTAGGAAACTTCAAAAAACGGCGTATAGAAAGATGTCAGGAGAAAACTTGTACCAACATCGTCTGTAAATTTCATAGCACGTAGAATCAACATTCCCTTGATTCTTGATTTGTGTTCTTCACAACCCACCCCCAAATAAACCCCGTTTTGTGTAATGTGTGATGTGAAATGCCGCATGTTCAGGTATTGACTTTCATGATGTTTTATTTCATCGACCAAAGTCTACCCGCAGTATCAGGACCATAACCCATTGATGCCAATGCAAGCGTAAAACTCCGAGTGCCGAATTTTCTTCCACTGTCCTTCCCATGCTTTCGCGCGATCGAAAAAAGCCTCCCGTTTAGGATCTGGGCTTCTCCTTCTTCTCCTTCCACAGAGCGAGCAGACCGACACCAGAGACCTTGACGACCTTGAAACGGACACCGGGAATATCACCCTTGGCCTTGCCCTTGCGACCGAAACCGGCCAGGAGGACCTCGTCGTTCTCGTCGACGAAGTTCAAGCAACCGTCGTTGGGGACTAGAGATCATAAAAATGTCAGCACTTCAGTTCCCTTCGCCACATGGTCCCATTCAAGACCAGTCTTTCTTTTCCCATTCTCTTGTTCGTCGTTCGAGAATCGCATGTTGGGGGGTATTCGGGAGAGGGTGTATCGTACCGAAAGCAGTGACCTTCTTGCCGTTCTTGATCAACTGAACACGAACGCACTTTCGGATAGCGGAGTTGGGCTGCTTGGCCTCGACACCGACCTTCTCGAGGACGATGCCCTTGGCGTGGGAGGAACCACCGAAAGGGGAGGACTTGAAAGCGGTACCGAGGGCACGCTTCTTGTATCCGAGATCGGCCCACTTCTGGTCCTTACGGTTCATGCGCAGCTTGCGCGCCGCATTGAGTCCACGAGGCATGTTGGCTGGATGAGACTATTGTCAGTTGAAAATGTTCCTAGAGGGGTAGTTGTGTGCTGGTGGCAATCGAGATTTCGTCGTCGAGATTGTTGAAATTTTTTCTTGCTCGGGGAATTCGTCGTCGATAGGTTGGAGGTTCTGGATGGGACAGCGCAAACGTACCGATGTGTTGGGGGGTATCGCGGGAATTGACTTGGTGGTGGTGATAGTGCCTGACTGCTTCTTCGCGAAAAGTGGTATCCTCAGATTTGTCCGACGACAGCTTTTTCGGCACACAGAGGGTTTGTGCCCTTCGGTGGGAGGAGCGTCGTTTTTCATCACGTGATACTGGCTCGTGCGTTGTCCCATTGCCTGACGAGCGGAAGAAGGCCGGGTCTGCAAGTCAAAAGTGGGGGCAGGTTCGCCCAACCACGGCCGGGTTTCGCTTTCAACCACTTTGGTCCGCTCGGAGCTCGAACCCCACGCTGCTGACCGTACCGTCTTAGCCAGGGGTGTCCCCCCATGGTCCACAGCTTGCCTCGACTATCAAAACCCAACCAATCCTATCAGATGCCGTCAAGTTCAAGAGAAGCTGTCTCAGACGCCAAGTCCCGAGCTTGGAATGTTCACGACGACACACAAAATGTAGGCATGTCTCAATCAGCCAAGAGCAAAGGAAAACAGCGCGACCCTCCGCCGTCCCTATTCCTTCATCCATCTCCCGCCGCCTCTCATGCCTCGTTACCGGGTATACTTGCGCCTGGAGCGCCGGCCACCTTGTCTGCTGGCGTCACACCTCTCCCTCAGCAGGCCATGAATATGCAACGGAATGGATCTCTTCATACGGGCTCGGTAGTCGCGCCATCCGTTGCGCGCCCTGTCCGGAATCTCAAGACCGCCGATAGCGCCCGTAGTAGCGACAGGACCGACGCGTTATGGGCCGAGATGCAGGCGACGCTCGAGGAGGTCGAGCTCTCGGCGTCAGGTGGAACTCACGTGTTTGGACCCGATCACGATCGCAAGCTGGAGGAGCTGAGGACAGCACAGATCGACCTGGCACAGGCATGGGCACGAAGTGAAGCCGATGAGGCCATTGAGATGACGGGCCAGCGCTCCAACACGTCAGCAGCCGGAGGCGAGGAGGTCCGCAACCTCAAGAGCGCAGTGCTAGGAGAGACGAGCGGCGTGGCGTCAGATGGCAACGAAGGACCGCGGAGCACGGGAAGCAACAATGGGCGACCAGGTAGCAGCGGGGGTACGGAGCGACTCGGTGCGAAACTCGAGCAGGAGACAGAGGTGGACATCTTGCTCGCACGCAAGAGGCGCGAGGCCAACGATCGGTACTTCCAACGGGTCAACAAAGGTGTTCTCGACGTCGTTGCCAAACTTGAACACGTTGCTGTTGCGATGCGGGCTGTTGAGCAGGAGACTAAGGATATCTGGGGCGAGAATGACAGCGCGATGGGCAGTGCGAAGGGGTAGAGGCAATCCTGTGATCTTTTTGTGTTTTGTTTGCCCTATTACCTGAAGCATCACCCAGGGCCACTGTATTACGACATCGTTGATTCTTTGCATGCTCGGGAAGGAGTTTCGTTGTTTGGTTATTATGGGCTGGCGTTGAGGATCACATGCATTGAGCGGCAGCACCCCACCAACGTCAGGTTGATAGATTGGCACTGGATGCTTATAGTATTAATTGATATCTCTAAGCCAGCTCAACGTTCCTGTTCAGGCTTTGTGAGGCGATCAACGAGGTCCACACAGTCTATACCAGCAAAGAACGACAAGCTGAAGATCACACTGGAACATTGAGCTCCATCGTCGGAGGAGCCGGATGAAGTCGTACACATGAGTCGGCTGGTGAGGTGCGACGGTACAATGGCTTGCCCATCGCTGTCACCGATCGCTAAATTGCTCCGAGTCTGCAGCGGGAGATGCGGGTGCACAAAGCGGTCGATTGCGCCATCGAATGTGGTGGTTACAGCTAGACGTTCTACACAACATTACACAATGCTACTATGTACAAGGTGGCACGTTGGGACAGGTGAAGTTGGTGAAGGTATACGGAGTATCGGAGCCCGAGATTGGTCCATGTCGCTATATTTCCACTGGTGACCTTCCTCACAGGGAAGGCCGAGTCCTGGCGGGACGACGGAGAGCACCCGTGACCGGAGGCGGAGGAAACAGCAAAGTGGGACTTTTGTTGCATGTCACCAGTTTGAATCCGCGCCAAGACCCTTGCCACTGCACACAGTTGGTGTGCTGCACGCTGAACGTACGGATAGTTTCCTGTCTTGTACCCGCGTACCTTACCTTAGGTATGGAGACCCAGGAATCTGACGAAAATGCTGGCGAAAGAAAAAAGAGGTTGCACATGTCCATACTGCTTGCTAGCGCCACCAGGTTGTCCCATTATTGCCGGTTCCCACACCATTCTAGACGCAGACGACTGACGTATGTTACTGGCTGGAACCTGGCAAACTGGACGGAAAAGAGTGACAAACAGCAATGGAACACCTCCACTACTTTCGAGGGGGGCCACCACGGCTGACGGCGCTCCCTACTGGGCAGGTGGTCAACTAAGGTTCGGCTGGTGATTGCCCATCCCAGGTGCCTTCCGCGCTGTGTCCCCATCCATTCAGCGGTCACTGGTCAGTCACCCTGCCATGACAAAGGGGAACCCAAACATCCATTCGATATCCATCAAGGCCCAGTTCAGTCCGTCCACGTCTAACTTGCTGAACTTCCTCCCTGCATCCACCCGTCCTTCACCAATCCGCGAGTCTCCAGCAACTTTCTCCAGTAACTCGCAAGCAACGATTAAATAACCGCAAACTCCCCACAAGACCCTTGAGCGCATTCGTCAATCCTACTACCTACCCTACAACACTGGCATTACCCTCATCCTCGACTTTGATCAATCGCCGCAAAGTCAGACTCTCGATACCGACCCGCATCAACATCCGCGATCGCAAAGAACTTCGTTCCACCCCTTTTCGACGACCTCATCACTCTCCGCAACCATGAGACCCTCCACCTTCCTCGTCGCCGCTCTGGCTGTCGTCCCCGGTGCTCTCGCCGTCGACCAGATGAAGTCCGTCATCGTCTGGGCCAAAACCGATTCCGTCGGTGACGACATCATTCAGAGGGCGAAGCAATCCATCATCGATGCCGGCGGTCAGATCACCCATACCTACTCTATGATTAGGTGAGGCATTACTCTTCCATCGGTTTGAGGTTTTTAAATCGCAGCTAACAGCGATCAGGGGATTTGCCGCCGTCACACCTGCTAAGGTCCTTGAATCGGTTCAAGCCTTTAGCGAAAGCCTCACAATCGAAGAGGACCACACCGTCACCAACTCCGTATAGATGGTAGCCTCATTATCGAACCAAGCTGTTCATCGGTCGGGCACAACTGGCGACAGGCAATTTGCAAAGCATGCATCTGGTGAAAGATACAACAATGTGCGAAAAGGGACTTTGGCTGGACTAGGTCACGAGGACAATGATATCCGCCGCCTTTCCCGGCGGCTGCGACAGGGGCAAGCGAGGGGGCACTCATAATTACCATTGCCGTCATAGACGATTTATCACTACGGAGTCGGGAGTTTTCATCAATGAGAAGTGCCTCGGGGGCATCTTTTTCTGTATGGCTACAGCGAGGCTTGGACCGCACCTGGTTCAATCCTGCTCGACGCCTTAAAAACAAGACCGAAAATCACAATCACAGCATACCTACTCATGACTTTGGTCTTTGCCTCGATTATTCCGCCACGTGTACGGGAATCCTTCTCAACTGACGGCCGCTTTATTTTGTACAGTGCTGACGTCGTGGCGTTCTACGATGATGTATCCCAGGTTCCGCATGCGGCTGACATCCACACAACGACGTTGATGAGAGACCTAAGCCTTGCGTGAACCCTTTCGACCTTCGAGGACCAATCCCTAAGGTGATGTACCTGATGAGTGGGGGATTCATGTGCGGCACGGAAAGCAGATGTGCAGATCAAAAGCGGATTTCTGCGTCTTCTAGCCTCCCCACTGCCGGCCAAGGATGCTGATTCAGCTTTATGCTAGGGACATAATCTGTCGCTGAGGGGCACAAGGTTACTTGATATCTCGAGGCCTCGTCCAGAATGTTGAGATACTGCATGTGCTTGATTGCAGTGACGCAGCATGCTGCAGCAGCACCTCCTATTGCACGACAAGTCGGCGGTCTCCTCACGGGATGAAAGCCCGGTGTTTCTGATACCTCGCGTAATGCTCCAATTGGGTTGGGCAGAAAAAGCGCCTGGCAATCTCACACTCACAGACGTGTCAAAGCGCAATGTGGGGGGAGACTTTTGGAAAGCCACCAGGCTCTGAAGATGATGCAGTCAGTCTGTCACTAACCGATGAGAGACCTGAAGGGGGGGCTGAAGAGGGAATCTTTCAGTCTGCGTGCCTGCATATCTTGGGCATATCCGTAGGTATAATGGTGCTCTTTAGTTCGGCACGGAACCGTGGAGAAGGGTCCAAGGCGAACCGGTTGCAACCCTACGATGGATGACCGACCTCGTCAAGCTTTCGTGGAGAAGTCCATGCCGTATCGATGGGATGGCAATATCGTCCATGATTTCGGTAACCGTATCCGTATTGTAGGCTCTGCCGGCCAAGAAGGGAGGAATCAGAATCACGATCAGGAGGGTGGTTGATTGTCGAGTAATGACCCAGGACCATCCGAGAAGATGGCTTGGAGTCTGTGCTTATGGCTACAAAAATAGTGCAGTTTGAACAATGTTCGGCCGTGTTTGACAAGAAAAGCACTTTTCGACTGATGTTGACTTTGAACAAGAATCCGAGGTTCTCGGTGACCATGTGCAAACAATGATATTGTTCTTCACCCTGGCTTTGTGCACTTGGTCTTTAGGAGCCTTTCACCAAACAAAAATCTTGATTCCAAAAGGAAAAGCAAGAAAGAAAGGTGGCTTCTCAGCCATCAGCCCTCCCACGTTGCCGCCAAAGAAAGACCCAACGGTGCT